CTAGTTTGACTTTTGTGGACCGTAATGGTTTAGGGTTTTTGAAAAAACAGAACCAAATTTCTAAAAAAATTAACAAGATTGATGATTGAATGTAGAAAAAACGGATACACCATGTTGGAAGTCAGGAATAAGGGTACAATTCTACCACTAGACCACATGTATGCAACTTTCAAGTCTAAATACTCTTAGTATAAGGTGAACGATTGTGTGAGAAAGAGAGTTAAAGTGAGAAATGTAAGAAGAGATCTGGACCCTTGATTGCCTTTAATCTCAAGTCCACCCATGGATCACGTTTGATATAAGGATTCATCTGGTGCATCTCACTGGAACCCAACCCTTATGTACAAACCCTATATGTGTAACTATTAAATTAGTGTTATATTATTTGTAGACAAATTTATTTAAGTAATATAACTTGTTAATTTATTCTAATGCATTGTTAAACATCTACTATTAGAAAAACAATAATAGTAACCAATTTTTTTTGGGTACCTATGGTTTGTCAAAAATAACACTTTTTGTCTTTGCAGTTTTGAAATTTCAAGATGATTATCATGGTTTGTAAAAACGTTCAAATTTGGTCTCTCCCTCTAACGACCTTAAAAATTCCGTTAAATGAAGAGGTATTTTCATTCTTTTATCATTCTTTTTTGTTTTTTAACCCAATCAAAAACCACAAGCAGAGCCGACCTTGTATTGGACAAGATGGGCGGTCACCGAGAGCAGCAGATGCCCAAGGGGTCTTAAGGCCCAATCTTTTATTTGTTATATAGTAGGCTCGTTTCTCAATTTTATTTTTCTAAAAAAACTAGAACCCTTATCGATCTGGCCTTTTCGCTCTTAACGAATGCTCTTGGCCTCTCGCTCTCAATGACGACCAGGATATGTTCTCGCCTCTTGCTCTCTAATCTCTACCAACATTTGCTCACTTCCCTCCTCGGGCTCTCACTCTTTCTCGACTAGCATCTGCCCTAGTGCCCTGCCCATGTGTTTTCTTTTTTGTTTTATGATTAAGTGACTATAATTACTGATTACTGTTTGAATATTAGGTTATTCACTTAATCACTTATTTCCTTATTTGCCTATTTGTCTATCTGATTATCCACTTATTTGTCTATTTGGTTATCAAGCTTCGACTATTGGATTAAGGTTATTAGGTCATTTGCTAATTTATTGTTTATTATCATTTGTTATTAGGTTATTTGCTAATTAAGCATGTTTCATAGATAATGCTCAAAATAGAAAAAGAAAGAAAAAATAACAATGCTCAAGATATAATTATGTTTCTGGTTGTTCTGTTTGAGAACACTGCTTGTAGAAGGTTTATTGACAGTATATTTTTGCTTATTTGGCTGACTATTGATCTATCAAATTTTGGAGGCAAACTTTTGGTTTGAAACTTTTTCATTACTTTATGTTTTTGCTCCATTTGGGCACAATCTTTTTGTTTAAGTTTGGGCTTTTTCTAACTTACAATATGGAAGAATCACACACATAGGTCGTGAGTCCAATAATGTGTCGGAAAAATAGGAAGTCGACAAAGAATTCAATCCCATAAGCCTAGCGACTACCCTAGGGGGTTTATCACATTCATCTTCATTCATTAGTGAAGATGCACAATTGTTGACATTACTTCTTTTAAGACTCAAACTGTTTGTTGTATAATCTTCACTCACCTGTAAATATAACTAGATTTCGTCTACAGTTAAAGAGAACGAATTCGTCTAAATTTGAATGAAGTATACAAGATGAAACTAAGTGATTGGCATGTTGGTATCATTGCTCCTTTTCTGCTTCAATTGTTCAGTAAGAATTTATATCGAAGGTCAAAATGCAAGAAAGAGATGCTGATATGTTTCATTTCAAGGAAAAAAAAACACTGGTTCTTATTTGTTTATGTCCTTCATTGTAACTTTCTTTTTTCCAATAATAATCATCGTAGAGATGAGCCGCTTAACTTGACTAGGTTCAAAACCCATTAAAAGTTCTTTGTTTCTTGGATTAGAGACATATATTTGACTCTTTGCTCAAGGCTTCCAAAACCATAAGACCAGCCCTGACCACACGGACCAAAATCATAAAATCGATTTTAATTGAATATAAGACAAAAATTGATAAACGGACGAAAATGCCCCCCATTTAATTGTACATTTTAATGACAGTTAAAGAGAGAGACCAAATCTGGATGTTTTTGCAAACCATGATAACCATCTCATAATTTTGAAACTGTAAAAATGAAAAGTAGAAAATTTGTAGTTTATCCTTACAATAATATGGGGTTTTAAATAAATAAATAAATAAATAGTCTTAAAATTCTAATTTTTTGGTATGTATTAGAAGCATCCCTTTTTCCCATGTGAGTTCAATCACCAACTTCCCATTGTTTTTCATTACTTTATGTAATCTAATGGTTTAATTTACACTACCATTATAATATTATACATATATCTTTTAGTATACACCACACTGAATTATATAAATATAGGACTGAACATGATTAAACCAGATATAACATATATAACTAGATATATGGAATAAGATAGACGGGACAACGAATTATATCATTTTAGAGATCCTAATTTATGTTGCATTAAATATGAAACAAGAAGTTTCTATTTCGTTATGTTCCACGTAACAAACAAACATGATGTTAATGCAACTAATCTTGATTTAAACTTAATTTACTACCAAGTGTTCATTTTGAATCATACTGATAACTTGAATGACAGTGGCAGATACATAGCTAAGCCATAGGGGGCACATGCCCCCAACAAACCATCAAGAAACCCACAAGAAAGAGCATGACTTATAGCTTTAAATATAATTGTTAAAGACCTTCCAGCCTAGTGGTAAAGGCTTGGGCATGGCATAGTCATGAACCCGAGTTCGAACACTGGGAAGTGAGTGTTGGCGACATTTAAGTGGGGCCATGTTTAGCCTCCAAAATTGCCGGGGATTAGTCGGGCTTTGGCCCGGACACCCTTACAAAAAAAAAAATATATATATATATATATATAATTTTTTTACCTAAAATTACAAATAGGCCCCTAGCAATTAAAAGACAATGCCCCAAATCTAATCCCTATCATTTCATTTACAACTTCCATTTTATTTCATTTCAGGGAGTTACCAATTTAAGAAGCAATTAAACTGTAATGTCCTTAATTTCTGAGTCTTAACTTATTGAAAGTCATTTTATTTGTCTTGTTCTATTTGCTATAATTCTAATAATTTGATCCATCACTATTTTTTTGGTTTTTTTTTTCCAACATTCTTTTTTTTTATAGATTTATAATCATTGTTATTTGTTGATTATTAATTTTCTATTTCTGATATTTGATTTAGGGCTCTTGAGTTTGTTCTTTAATTTGAATTTGTTATTTTGATATAGGGTTTACTACTAGTTTATCTTTTATTTCTAGCATATTGGTCTTTTGTTCTCTAATTTCTTTTAATTGAATTTAATTTATTGCCCTCTGATTTCTTGCTATTGACTATTAATGTGTACTGTGTTCATTTGTTTTAAGTTGAACCGAAATAAAAATATATGTACAATGTCTCTGTTTATCCGAAATAGTAAAAATTCATAAAAAAACGAAAAAAAATGTATATTTATTTGATTAAACTGAACAGTTTAAGCCGACAACCGAATAACCCAAAATCGTCTTGATTCGGATGACTTATTCGGTTTCAAAATTTTTTTTGACACCCCAACTCTCCAAGTTTGCCCCCAATAATAGAATTTTATGGATCCGCCACTGTTGAACGGTGTGAATAGGCCACCTTTCAAAATAAATCGTCAATGATAAAAAAACACAACACACAGTTTTAAAATATGTGTAAATATTACACTTTTTACTTAATTATTAAACTTTTTAATAAGAGCTGCGTCTCCCTCTTATCAACTCCAATATTTATAAGTCTACCAAACTCCCGAAAATCAGAAAATACTTTTGGGATTTTGAATTACCCTAAGGGGCCGTTTACCAAACATTTACCCGGGTAAGTGCTTACCAAGTCAGATTACCTTATCAGATGAATATGGTAATGACCAAAAATCTTACCCGGTAAGAGGGAGATAAGGACTAAGAGTTTTACCCGATAAATAAAAACGACGACTCTTACCATGGTAAACACTTACTCTGTAAATTGTTGCATACGATACCGTTTTGGTGGACTAAGGTCTTACCTGGTAAGTAAGTGATAATGTTAAATTTTACCGATAGACGTTTATCGAGTAAGTGTTTGGTAAATGGCCTCTAATATTCACCTGTTAAAAATAGATATTTATTTTAAATAAACTTAATAAAACAATAAATGCTTATTTTAGAACCGGAGGATTAAATCTATATATTATTTTTGACCGAGACTCGTATATCTATACTATATTATAAAGCATTTGGCTAAAACTATTAAAAACTCTTAAACCCGTTCATCACTAAACAATTTCATCCATATCCGATTTCATCTCATATCTGAATTCGTGTAACTTACTGCAGATAAACACAATCAAATACAGGATAAACATCTCATTTTAAATATAAAAAATCTAAAATATAATTAGTACAATCATTGAGTTCTAACAAAATACTTAATTATTATCTTTATAAAATTTATAATATTAAACCAAAAATAAATTATTTTATTATTAAACTTAAATTAAATTATATATATATAATATATTCTATATTATAAATCATTTGATAAAAACTCTTAAAAATCATTTTTTATGCGTAAAGTACTGTTTATTAATGCATATTACTTAATACTCAAAATTACAAGTAAATTGTGTGTAGATACAACTTATTAAAGCTCCGTATCTGAATTCGTATAACTAATAAATATATCTATTAATTTTCTTTTCACATACATCAACATTAAAATTTAATTTTACATTTTTAATATATAATTTAATATGATTATGATATAAATAGGGTTACATATCCATGCGGAAATGAATTTGATGAATCTTATAATATATTCAATGGATTATAAAATTCCACGTCATCAAAAAGGATGCTTACAAGGCAGAAGTGGGGCCCCACATAAGCCAGGATTACCCAAAAATGCAGACGCAGGAATGCTTGCATTATGCCCAGGAATTTCCCCAATTAGTCTGTTTCCAGATGCATCAAATTCCTTCAGATTCTTCAAATTCAGCAACTGTTTCGGAATCTTTCCCATCAAATTATTCCTTGCAATCAAGATTCTCGCCAATTCGTTTCCATAACTCAAAGATTCCGGGATGATTCCGCCCACCGGATTATGAGATAGAACCAACGAAACAATCGAATCCATCGCTGCTTCATCGCCAATCTTTATAGGTCCTGAAAATGAGTTATATGATAGATCGATTGAGTTGAAATGACCAAGCGGGTCTTGTACATTTTTCTTGAAAATAGTGTTTATGTCGCCGGAAAAGTTGTTTGAATGAAGATCCAGGTCCGTTAGGAGTGAAAGGTTCTCGAATTCCGGTGGAATTGGGTTGCTGAATCTGTTGTTTGATAAGTTCAGGAATGAAAGATTCGTCATGTTTCCGATCCAATGTGGTAGTTCATCTGTTAATGAATTGCTGGACAAATCCAAAGATGAGATTGTTGATGACGACGACAGAATGATCGGAAATGGACCTTGGATTCCGGTGTTCGCCATCATTAGTCGGAAAAGTTTCAGTTTTGAAAACCATCTCGGTAATCGTATTAGCTTCAGAGGATTGAATGATAAATCTAGAGTCTGCAAATTCTGTAATTTAGCAAGCTGGGATGGAATCATGCCGGAAAGATTGTTTCTTGACAAATCGAGCGCTTGAAGATTGTGTAAATTGCCGAAACTAGAAGGAATGTTTCCGGTGAATCGGTTACCGGAAAAGTATATATCGGTGAGGGTCTTCAGATGACCCATGGTGGCAGGTAGTTTTCCGGTGAGCTTGTTGTTCTCAAAGATCAACCGTTGGATCTTCGGAAGGTTGCCGATGGACGGTGGGATAATGCCGGTTAGTTCGTTTTCCGACAAACGACAGAATTGAATAGAAATGAGGCCGTCAATTGAAGAAGGAATGGAACCAGAAAGTTGGTTTTGGTTAAGGTACAGAATCTGTAATTCCGACAGTAATCCAAGAGATTCCGGGATGGTTCCGGTGATCTGATTTTCCGATAAGTCCAGAAATTTAAGATTCTTTAGCTTTCCAATCGTTACTGGTATAACTCCAGAAAAATTGTTCTCATGAAAATCAAGTTTTGTTATCGAAACCATGTCCCCAATCGAAGATGGAATCTTCCCTGAAAACTGATTCCCTGAGAGACCAATTTCCAATAGCGATCTAAAAGATCTGAAAACCGCCGGCGGGATTCTCCCGCTGAAATTGTTATCGCTGAGATAGAGTTTTTCCAGCCTGAAAAGGAATTGGAAAGTGACCGGAACTGAACCGGAGAGCTTATTGGAATCAAGAAAGAGGTGGGTCAGGCGAGATAGTCTCCCGAACTCCGGCGGAATCTGACCGGTCAAATCTTTAAGGTTGCTGAGATCAAGAAGTTGCAGAGACGAAAGGTTAGAGAGAGAAGGAGAGAGAGTACCGGACATGGATGTTTCGAGGATGAAATCCTCGCCGGAAACCAGACCAGAACGGGAGACATTAACGACTCTTCCGGTGGAATCACAGTCGATGCCATTCCATGATTTGCAGCAATCGGTTTGAGGCGTCCATGAATTTAGAAGGTTGGAAGGGTCAAAGGTGATTTGGTGTTTGAAGTGAAGTAATGCATGATGATCAATGGGATGGCAAGCTAGTGATGTTAATGGAGAAAAGAGGAGGGAGAAGAAGATGATAGAGAAAGTGCTAATGTGAGTTTGGATCTCCATTGAAGTTGCAGAGAATGAGAATGACAATGTAGAAGAAGAAGATGGGGGAGTGATTAGTTGGTACATTACTTCTTTTTCATGTAAGAACAAATTTTCACAACTAAATTGTTCGACTTTTGTATATATCATGCAAAGTGTCTAAGGCTCTCCTCACAAACTAATTATCGACTCATAAATATATCTATACTGATTATAAAACATTTGATAAAAACTCTTAAAAATCATTTTTTATGCATAAAGTACTGTTTATTAATGCATATTACTTAAAACTCAAGATTGCAAGTAGATTGTGAGTAAGTACAACTTATTAAAACTTCATATCTGAATTCGTGTAACTAACTGCAGATAAACATAATCAAATACATGATAAACATCTCATTTTAAATAAAAAAATCTAAAATATAATTATGAAAATTACTGAGTTCTAACAGAATAATTAATTATTATATTTATAAAATGTTACATATTATTAAACAAAAAATAAATCATTTCGTTATTAAATTTAAATTAAATTATAATAAAAAAATAAATTAAAGAAATTACATAAAAAATGAGAACTTTTAAATAGTTAATTTTATGTTAACATTGATATATATTTTTTCAAAATTTTATGATATATTCAAATTCATATTTTATTCAAAAATAAAATCATTATTGCTTTCTTAAAAACACATAAAATTGTATTATAATATCGACAGAGATAAATAATAAAATAAAACATTAAAATCGATATTTGTCTCGCTACATTGCACGAGTACCCTTCTCGTACAAGGAAATGAGTTTAAATGAAAACATTCTTGTTTTATGAGAAATATTTTGGTTTTCAAATTAACTAAACCATAATAAAAATTTAAAAAAATAAAAAAAATTAATATTTATCAACAATTTTCTATTATATTATATTTATCTTTATCGCTTAAATGTTGTTAATATCATGGAAGATTTCTTATGTTGATGTATTTGTTGTCGATAATGATATGATAATGTTATGATAATAATGCCATATTGTTTTGATAAAATCAAAGAACTTATGATGAGATTCTACTGTGATTATGACATGATTTTGTTGATAACCAACATCCTTATCACATATGATACATTGTGATCGGCGGTTATATATCTGTACATAATTTTAGGTCAACGCAATTATCGAATCTAAACCTTATATATAGTCACCGGCGGTTAAGTCGGTTATTTTGGCGGGAGTCATGTCTGTTCCCAACAGACGCGACTTTTTGGGAGTTGGGATGCATTTCTACATACGGATGAATTAGTGTGACCGTCGCCAGGGGCGATGCCCCTTGGAACCCCACCAAGGGCGTTGCCCCCGGAACCCCCCGTACCCGAGATCATATTAACTTATCCGAGCGTGCACTTCGCACCTCCAGACTCGAATTATAGCTAAGTCTATTTTCGGCTTGTCTCACATTAATCCCGATCATACTAAATGGCTTGATGACACTAAAATCACCAATACTTTGTTTTACACGTACTTGTTTCATCATGTGTAACACCTTTACATGTATTTTAGTGAACACAAACATATAAAAAAAATCACATTGTCAAACTAATATATGTAACTAATGCTTTAAATCTTAGCCTTACATGAAAAAGTTTGTATGAAATAACACATATTGTACCAGTTCTCATAGTTATCACAATATTTGAGTTTTTCATTTGATTAGCTCCCCCCCAACACACACACACACATATGTATATATATATATATATATAGAGAGAGAGAGAGAGAGAGTGTTTTGTTTTCGTGAGACTCGTGAGACCACAAAAATAACATTACTTTCACAGTGTTTTTGCTGTGAAGGTTCAATGTTTTTATTTATTTATTATTCTTCACAATGGTTTGCATTAAAAGTTATGTGTTATTTTGTGTCTCATAAAAATAGGTTTGTCTCACGTGAATCCAACCATATATATATAGAGAGAGGGGGGGGGGGGGTTAAGATCTTTTATTAACCAATCTATTTGTGTTAATTATATTAACACTCTGGACCAATTGGAATCTATCTAATGTTATGATTCATATATCACATTGTATTTATTTTCAAGGACAATTTGATAATTTTATTTTATTTTCTTGTATTACTCTAAGACATTTAAATGGAGGTTACAAAATTCCATGATTTTAGTTATATTTTTATGATATAACGATCCATTAAATATGGAAGTTTGTGATGTAACTTATGAACATATTTGATAACTTATTGGATTTCAGAAACATCATTCATTTATGAACACATTCACTGTTTCACCTATGAACAAAGTTACAATTTCAATATTTTTCATTTTCATTTATGAAAACATCACTGTTTCACCTATGAACACATCATATTTCTTATGAACATTTAATTGACAAACTTGTATAATATTGGTTATGAAACACCAAGGGTTATATTAATTATTGGGACTGAAATTTGGGTATGATAGATGCTATTTCAATTTTTCAAGAATACATATAAAAATATTTCATATAATGAAACAAATATATATAAAATTACATTATTAAAAAAAATGTATAGATGTTTTTATGAAAGTGTTTATTTTCACATATTATATATAAGTTTTTTTTTTCATAAAAGAAATATGTTTTATGCATTTATTAAGGAGGGTCTCATCATGCAACCTATGTGGAAATGGGACCATTCATTCAAAAAAGAATTGACCATGATTTAATATAAAATAAAAAGTGGAAGGGCAATTTGATGGGGAACATGTTATGATGACACACGAGTTGTTATGATAATGCTTGCCATATGCATGAGAGGGTAAATTACATATTTGTCCTTGTAATTAATGATTATATGTAGGGTTATTTAAGAGTATATTAGAAATTTCTCCCCTATAGTTTCATGTTGGTTACAAAAAAGGTCCCTGAACTCTAAACTTCATGATTTGGGTCCTTAGGGTTTTGCTTTTATTATAGATCCGATCACTTACCCAACACTAGTTTAAAAAACTTCGTTAAATAGGGGGTATTTTTTTTCTTACATTTCTTAATTTTAAAAATAATTTATATATACACATAAATGTACCATCACTTTTCTTTGAAACCTGTCGCCATCAAAAATCCCCTCTTGGCAACCTTGACTCCTTACCTCCTGACAACCTAGTTATCTTTGGCCATCGTAGAACTCATTTAGATTACCAATCACTCCCATCTCACCCCTTTCTTACTACAATGAGACCATCCATCGCAACACTCCCTTTTCTTCCGCAAAACCCCGACGTCTCCCCTCTTCCTCATCGAGATCCTCGTGCTGCAAGAAAACAAATTTGAAAAATGAAATATAGAAACTATCTAACCCCTCCTTTCATCATCTATCCAAATCCAGATCTTTTATGGATCCCCATGGTGCAGGTTTCCGAGAGTGATTGTCGTTCTTCCACCACGGTCCAAGTGTAACATACTCTTTTTTTGAATATGCTTGGCAAATGCCTCAAAATGTGTTCTAATGTGTATTATGTGTTTAATAAGGTGGATTATATGTTAATATAATGCTTTAATGAGGACTTGTAGCAAAATCCTTAAGAAATATAAAGGGTTTCATAGGTTATTACAAAGTCAACAACATCATCCTCTTGTTCAGAGTTAGAATTACTCTGAACTCAAGGTCTTCAGACTTCGTCTTCATATTTGACACTTAGCGTTCGTCGGGTTCTCTTGAAATAACTCTGAAGACTTCTTTTCCAGAGATCTAAATAATGTCTCTTCAGATTTTTACTTGTACGCCTTGAGATTGCCCAAACTCTGAAGACTTATTTTCCAAAAACCTGAAGAATGTCTCTTCATACTTGTACTTGTACGTCTTGAGATTGCCCAAATTCTGAAGACTTCTTTTCCTGAGGTCTGAAGAATGTCTTTTCAGACTTGTACATGTACGACTTGAGATCGCCCAAACTCTGAAGACTTCTTTTCCAGAGATCTGAAGAATGTCTCTTCAGACTTGTACTTGTACGCCTTAAGATTGCCCAGACTCTGGAGTCTTCTTTTCCAGAGATCTGAAGATAGTCTTTTAGAGTATAGTTCAACCAGAGGCTCTGGTTGCTTTTTCAGACTTAGACTTAGTCGATTTAGCACATTTCAGATCTCTGAACCTTTCATCCTTAGCCCAAATTATTTTAATTAAACTTGTATAATATTTAGGACTATTTTAGTCCTAAAACCTTTTCTGGAATATATTTGATACGAACACATGGGCGAAAAACTATGAATTTTTAAGTGTTTGGTTGTCAAAATGGGTGTTGGATCTAATTTTTAGTTAGATCTTTTCACATAATTTTTACTTCTACAAGCTTCTAGACCAAAGTGCGTGTGATTTCACACACCTAAAGCTAAAACCTAGCTAAATCTTGGTGAAATTGAAGAGAAATTTCAAAGATTTTGAATATTTGAAGGGAGTATAAAAATATAATTAGGAAGCTTTTGGAGTGCCATACATACTTGGACTACAGAGTTGGAATGAAACATTCGGTTGAGCGTTCGGTTGACCCATTTTATGCACTGTGAGTCTATATGAAATACATGTTTATGTGTACTTATGTGTGTATGCATTTTCTGTTTGTAGTAGTAAGGTGTAACATGAGTGAGTCCTTCTGATTCCGGTTTGTATTCGTATGATCGTTCTGCAATGTCGGTCGAGTCCGAATCCACGACTGTTTTGTTGATCTATTGGTAAATCGTGAATACGAGTATTACTTCATGTGGTATGCTGGAAAGCGGTGTATGTCCTCGTATCCCAGGGAGATGGAGGTTGGGTGTGACATACCGATTCGTTGTACTCACGTATTTCGAGTGGTAGGAGACGAGTGTGAGTACTATTCTGCATGTACCCAGTAAATGAAGGTGGGAGTGGTGCATTATTTTTGATATTTTATGTTTGATTCATGATATGTTTACATGATACGATATCTGAGCCATGTGATAGATGTTTGTATGGCACAAATGTCCTTTTGTTGGTGAGTTTATCGGTAAGAACGTATAT